ATGATACACTTACTTTTGGCATTGAAAATAATACAATAATAATAATAAAAGGAAACAAAATAAGAAATTAACTCAATTTAAAACTGTATGTAATCTTTAAAAGGGCTAAGAAGAGAGAGAGATGGAAGACAAAAAATATATATAAGAAGGAGATGGTCTGGGGTGGCGGTCATAAATAAGCTAAATAGTGGTAAAACTATTTTATTGACAGCCAACGTTTCGACCCGACTTTGCAGGTCTTCTTCAGGAAGGTGTGTCCAGCTAGGAGTTTCACTTGAAAATTGAGTTTTGTGAAACGTTGGCTTTTAATAAAATAGTTTTGCCACTATTTAGCCTATTTATGACCGCCACCCCGGACCATCTCCTTCCTTTATAATGCAATGGTCAACTATTAAATATTCAAAAAATATATATATTCTAAGAAATCAATAACCAAAGGGAGAGTTATTTAAATGAATAGTTATAGACCGTAGATTGAAAAATGAACCTACGGTTGTAATCAGAAATTACATCTTTCACTTATATTATTTTTTTACTTGTTTGAAACCATCAAATATTATGCAATAGTATACATTTATCATCAAATGAGCAACAATTATGCAATATAAAATTCGGATTGTTACATCTCAGCAGTACACTGATTCTAAGAGAATTTTGATCAGCAGTTAAAAAACCTGATGCAAACTAATTAATTATCTAATTGCATATAAAACTGTGTCTAGCTTATAAATTTATGAATACAAAATCATAAAATAAATGAGCAAAGTACAGTCACTTGATTATGATAAATCAAAAGGACTCGAACAAAATAACAATAAAACTCATAATAATTAATAAAATAACTAATAGCAACTAATAAAAATCAAATAACTTTTTTTAAATTTTAAAATTATGTATATTTAGTTAATTTATGGTACTATAAAAGAGATAACAGACATAATGGGAAATACTACTTTTGTTAGTAAACAAAGCTAATATTCACAATAAATACACCTTACAACTAAAGTATTAAGTTGGCAGAGTAATAAATATATTCATATAACATTATCAAGCATACCTACTGGGTAATGTTCAAATAACATAAACAAAAAACAATCCATTTGATTATGTAAAGTGATTTTAATAATTATATTATGTTTCACTGAAGTTCGTACTTTATAATATTTGCAAGGAAATGTCCTTAAAATCAATAAGTTAAATTAATAAAAATAAAAATAAAGAGCATATATAGACTGAGAGAAATCTAATCAAAATTTCATCAACCGAAATATGTCAAGTCAGCTTAAATTTATATTTTTCCAAAATAGGTTTTAATGGTGTATTAATTACTAAAAATTTACTGTTTAACATTTATCTTCTCATTATTTTTCCAATAGGACTAACTGGTTTAAATTCACATCATGAAAATTTAAAAAAGAAATTGAAAATCTAGAGAATCTCAAACTAGCCTCCTTTCTAAGTATTAGATTTTATTTAATAGTTTTGATTGAAATCAACAGATCCCAGCAGTAATGTATGATTGAAGAGGTGATAAGAGTGAGAAAACAGAGAAGTGATTTTGTTGACTTTTTTTATATTGTAAGCCAATGCATATTCTAGGCTGTAGCGTCATTGGTGAGATTCTGATTCAGATTGGTGAGTTTGCGACCAGGTGTCCCGGGGAATTTTTACTCTGGCATTAATTCCCCGTCCTCACCCTCTGGCCAAGGAAAACCCCTGTATATCCTAAAATATCAGAAAGGGGAGAACTAAAAAAAAAAAAAATAATAATAAAAAAATTGAGATACTGATCAATAAGAACAGATTTCTGTGCAGAGCTGTGTATTTTTTTCAGGAGATCTGCATCCCATATATTCATGACCACAGAGATAGTTTGTTGTCAATGGAGAAGGCGTAAGTAGAGAAATCTATACCCTCTATAAGGAGCCTCCATGTGTTATTGTGATGTAGTCACAATTATCAAGTTGGACGGGAGAGCAGTCAATCCCAAAGAAAATACTAACAGAACAACGATTCAGCAGACGCAGAGTTGGGAGAACCAGGCTGCAATGGTCGGACTGTGTTGCAGGTGATTGCATCGGAGCAAGAAATTGGATGGTAGCAGCACACATTAGGGACACATGGTGAGTGCTGTTGGAGTAAGCCAAGACTCTCTTGTGGGTTGTTGAGCTGAATTAATAATAATAAGAGATAGCTTTTTGCAGATCAGAGAAGCCAGAACCTGTATGCGATGGAGGAGGGAGGCCAGATAGTTATGTTTGGTTATTAATCTAAATATAGCAATGCTGACTACTTGAGAGACACTATACACTACTTACAATACATACATACAATCATATATGACAAAGCTCTCCTGCATTGTGCCGATCATTTCTAAGCAATTTTGTCAATTATCTACTGGAGAGGTTATTTTTGCATTGGAGTCAAAAAGATGTTCTCTACTTCATTGGCATAAATGTTAACATGGCAGGAAACCTACGTGAATTCCAGTTGCCAGATTTGGTAATCACAGTTTAGTATAAGGTCTTTCTGTAGTCTCAAGTTCTTGTGTAGTTAGTTATAGTTTTACATACCAAGTTACGGATAGCTACTTGTGGATTGACAAAGGATACTGCCTTCTATATGGAAAGGATGGATTCAAGTTGCCAAGCGGTTGCTTGTATTGCAGCAATTTACATGTCAAAACTGCTTGTTTGAGCACAAAATGCAAGATAAAAATAATTAAAGTGGAAAAAAAAATCCAGTCATAGTGAAGATTACAAAAATTTGAAGAACTCACAACACATGAGAAGGCCTATTCCTGCACTATTATAGAATTGGAGCACCAATAGCAAGTTGAATTATATTGAACAGTATGAGTACTACTTGAGAGCAATCTATTGTCTCAAGCAGCAATGCAAATCAATGATTGCCACTACTTGAATATGCAAATGCTTGAGCTACCCGAAGATATTTAAAAAGAGTATAGAATACAAACGTACTGTTCACAGTCTGCTTATTCATTCTAAAAGAGCTTACGACTAACAATTAACAGATGAGATATTAATGAGCAATGAGAATTGGATATAAAAACAAATCAGCCTAATTAATGGCCTTGGATAATATTAAAGCAATAGTTAGTTTGATTTATCAAATAACAATTAAATTCAAGGAAAAAAAAATAATAATGATAAAACTGGCTAAATGATAAAATTTATTTTCCTCTAATACATTATTAAGCTTAAAAAAACATGTAACAATGACATAAATAACAATAAAAACTTTCAATGCTTTCAGTATTCCAATATCAATGCAGTTATTTCTCTGAGATCATAAAGGACAAATAAAGTTATCTGATGTTGACAGAGTGACTAAAAAGGTGCATTGCAATATACTAACACAATAAAGAGACAAATTACAAGAAAGTATCAACGCTAGATCGACTTTTTAAGAGATCAATTATAATTAATACCTAACTAAAATGAAACAATAAAAAAGACAAATAAATATATACAATTTAGAAGATAATTGTTGAATCCTAAGAAGTCATTTTTTAAACAATGGTTTAAAAATAAATATCAATTAAGAATAACACTGTATTTAATTATAGATCATTTTACAGCTTATTCTACAGTAACTCTGACCCTGATGAATGAATAGAGCTGAGAGTTCAGAGAAAAGAGTTGTGTCACCATATGAAAATAAATAATGTTGTTTAGACAATACTCAGTAAAAAGAAAACAAATAATGATAAATTTCATCTATATATTGAAAAAAATATTATCAGCAGATAAAAGGAACTAGGATGTTATGTAATGATTAAGAGAGAATCATGTAAACAAAACTGGAAGAAACAAATAAATTGACAAGTAAAATAATTTAGTTTTATACTAATGAAAGAAACAATGGAATAGCATAATTCAATACAAAGAAAAGAACATTACAGGAAAAATATGCATAATAGACAATGTATATGACTAAACAGAAAAACATTACCTGAAAATTAATAATGGAATGTGATAAGAGCGCCATAGGAAACTGATACTAGTTCTTGTTGGAGAGATTGAGATTTATATCAATATTTTCATGAAAAGAAACCTATTTGTAATTTAAAACATTTTTTTTCCGATTGGATTCAAGAAACATCAAGTAAAGCATTTTAATCTGTAAATGTTGCATTATGATAAATTATATGAAGATAAATAATACTCCTATTTTAGTAATAATAAAAGGAAGGATCTATAAAAAAATAATAGAAAGGATTTATTAAGTTAGATTTTGATACATTATATACTCAAACATTGAAAAGCGGCCTAACACAATATTAAAAATATGTAAACAAATAAAATTTAAAGACGAAATTTAACTGTTTTCTTAGATTTAATTTCTTATCATAAAGGAAATATAATTATTTACATTTTATCATTTTTTTTAAGTTTAATAAATTAATTTTTTATAGTTTAACTGTGAATCCAAAATAAAATTCTAAACAATATATCTAAACAAATTCTAAGCAATATATCTAAACAAATTGGGAACAAATCTAGCAATTTATCACCCTAAAATCTCTAGTCTACCTACCTCTAAGCAAATTGGGTTATCTGTGTGTATTTTTAAATATTCTTTTGTCTATAACTATTGCATTGTTTTAAAAAGTTAAAAATAATTTTTATCTTATTAAAATTTTTATCATCTATAAATAAGCTAACTCAGGCTAAATATTTCTAATTGATATTAAAATAGGTAAAAACCATTTAAATATTTTCCCTGGCAAAATAATGATAACAGCATTATTATTACTTTTGGTGATTCGAATATCATTGTTTGATAAGCAAAGTGTTAAGACTTGTTACCGTTATATAAAAACAAAGACTGTTTATCGCTTAAAACAAAACTAAATAAATCTTTACTTAATGAAGAAAACAGCAAAACCAAAACAATTATTACTAAAGTAAGATATGTAAACATACGTTGATTTTGACACATAATAGTTGAGTAAAGCATAGAAATAAAATACTTACCTTCAGCAGAGTTAAGATTTTTTGGCTGAGATCGTAGTCAAAATGAGAATATTTGGAATCTGACATGTCATAAATAAAAACTATTCCTGCTCGTTGTGTTTCCACACTTTCGAGAGCTACATCTAGCTGATAAACTAAACCCTAAAAACATATATTGGTTTAATTAGTAATTTACAAGTTATAAAAAAAATAAAGTTTATAAAACACATTTGCAGCTATTCTAAATATTGACTATTTACTGTACTTTATTTTATTTTATAGATGAGCGGTTTCGTTAGTTAAATTAAAATAGAGAAAGGGAGGTAGCTCAATGAGCAAGGTACTTAGCTCTTATCTCCTAGGCTTGGGTTCGAGTCCAATGATAGCAAATAATTATTTTTCCTGTTAAATAAGCCATGGAACTATTCTAGATTTGGGAGACCCTCCTGGGGCACACTTGGTCTCTACTAGGTAAGTATCTTTAGTTAAGGAACAAAACATGACAGTTTTTGAGCCTGATCTTGGCCAAATCACCTTGCAAAAACCAATGCTTGCTTAAGAAGTTATATGATTCTATGATATGAAAATAGTCACGATTTCGCGTCCCGGTGCCAGAGGGGATTTTAAATTTCCCGCCCTCACCCTCTGGTCGGGGAAAATCCCGTATAGCCTAAAAGGCGAGGTAGGGAAGAACAGAAAAAAAAACAAAAAAAAAAAAAAAAAAAAAAAAAAAAAACCCTTGACCCCTGAGTGGGCGGGGTGGCCAAACGTACTAACGTGTGTGCACAGCACCGCCGTTGCCCGGTGATATATCAATTAAATGATATAAAAATAATCACGAGTTTACGTCCCGGTGCTGGGGAGTCTTATAAATCCCCGCCCATACTCCCTGGCCCAGGAAAACCCCGTATAGCCTTAACGGAGAGGAAGGGAAGGAGCAAAAAAAATAAAATAAAATGCGAGGGTATCCAAACCTTTTGCCATACCCACATTGGGAACTCCACCCAAGTCCTGCGGGCCATGGCTTGTGATGGAAAAAAAAAAATCTTGTTCTATAAATGACACTTCATTTATGAAATATTGTAGTAACCTTGTGTATGAGTAAATTGCTAACTTTTATATTTTTAAAAATTTTACCATGTAGACAAAGAAATTTTGGAGGGCCTGATTGGCCTTCGTATTTTTTTTGGTTAAAGGTTGTGATTTAACCGAGAGCATCCTCAACTGCTAGGGTTTTTTTCTTAATTAATTATTTTATTAAGAGCACCCACTAAACAGAGGCTGTGAAGACTCCACAGCTGGCTCATGGGTAGATCCATAGCTGATGTAACAGAATAAATAATTACCTTGAAACAAATAAATTAACTAGATTTGAACTAACATGAATATTGGAGCAGAATGCCTTACTCACTGAAGAACCCCGCTTTCTACAAAATTAAGAATTACAAAAAAGTTTATTTTTTTAAGAACCTGAATAAACCAGTTAATAAAACTAAAAATCAGAATCAGACCTGAAGAGTTGTTTGATGGGATGATGTCTGAGGACAATGTATTCGGGCAGTGAACACAGCGATTGCAGCACCCGTTGAATCTCGTGTAGGCTAAAATAAACAATATTTATAAATAAATAACACCAAATAAAAAAGTAATTGTAATTATATGTTGTATGTATTATATTGTAATTATTATAATATATTTATTATATTATATTCTCTACACCGTAATTATATTTCAACGTTTATTCAGTTAATTGATTATTTATTAATTAATTTTTTTCATGTTCTTTTAAGGCATGGCATAGTCAGAATCTTCGCTTGTACATTGTAATGAAGTTTAATTAAAAATACTCAAAATTTACAAATACAAAAACATTTAGTGAACAAGAAAATACAAAAAGAATACATTCATTGAGGAAAAAGTTATAACTTTTTTTTCTCTCATCATAGTTTACAAGATTTTAAATAGTTGTTTCTGTTTATTTTTTTTATTTTTTTTTTTTTTAAAAGTAGTCGAAACTATTGGAACTTCTACTCCTAATTAACAGTTTTTTCCAACATTAACCCTGTTGTGGTCGTGCAAAGGTTCACCAATGGCCACTAACGGATCCAGGATTTAATTTTGGGGGGCTTCAGCCCGAAAGATTTGTTTTTGTACGCATATATTAGAATAATTACTTCGAAGGAAAGAAAGAAACTAACTACCTATACGAAATGGTGTTTAAATGATTCTGTAAGTCCCATTACATAAAATAATAATACTAATACTTAATAATAATACTAAAATACTTTTAGATTTTTTTTTTCTTTAAACATAGTTATATTTTACCATTTTGGGAGAGGCTTCAGCCTGAAAGCTTCCCCCGTAGAACTGCCTGTGCCAATGGCTAGCAACCTCTCAAATATGAATGAAAAATAACAGACTCCTGTTTTATTTTTTTTTTGTACATGCAAGTTGTGCCTACTTTGCGAATATTATTTTGTTTAAAAATTGTCCTAATTCATCAACAAAAAAAAAACCCCTACCACTACAACCCATGAAGGGTCTTTGAGTACAGTACTATTTAGGAAAAGTACTGTTTTTTTGTCAACAGTTGTGCAACAAAGTGATTTAACTAAGATCACGCTCAACGGCCAAGTTTTCCCCTTTAATTAATTATTTAATTAAGGGCACCCACTTAATAGAGACTGGGTGTTGCTCAGAAGGATCTCCCGACCCCAGGGTCAGTCCACGACTGGTAAAACAGAATAAATAATTTTTCTGCTATGAGCCGGGATTCGAACCTGGGACTTCGAGCATTAGAAGATCAGTGCCCTACCACTGAGCTAACCCACTCCCTGTACTAATTGATGGACATTATGTTTATTTATTTATAGTAGAAATTTAACACCATCATCTACAGCTTGCAACTCCAAACTTCTTCTTTGTTTCTTAAATCTTTTACACTGGAAGGAAATATGTTTTGGATTCTCCGGAAAGGAAATTTATGCCTTTTCCATCCCCAATACTTAATAAAGGTGGTTGGCCGCTCCAATATTGCACAGTCATTCACTTAAAATAGATAACAATTATCTTACTTGGTGGCTTACGTGAATAATTCATATAGTATATTGGTCAGTGAACAAATGCCAATATAATCTGGAAATATGTAGATTCATTGCATTACAAGATGAAGAATTAATATTTTTATCCTCGGTGAAATACAATGGCTTATTTCACAATCCACTGTAACCTTGATAAAAATTATCCAATTTGAATCATATATCTTTTCATTTTGTAGGGAATTTTGAAATCTTTCAAATTTTATTTACCATAAATTGTATTAAAAGATTTCCATTTTAACAGTTTCTATGATACTTTTTAGAAAAACGCTTTTTTGTTATAAAAGTTCCAGGTTTATGGTAGAAGTTTAACTTTTATTTATTTAAGTTGTTACATCAAAAATAAACAGTAATTGGGATTAGAATAGGGTTATAGTTTGTCTCAAATGAATTACACATGATTCTAAAGTCGTTTGTTTGTTTGAGTAGCTATGAATAAAAGTAATTTTTTAGTTCGACTTTTTAGTGAAATCGACAGAACATTTAAATATAGGTATTTTAAAAATAAAAGTTCTGTAAAACCTTTACTTGAAAAGTTGCAAAAGAAAAAGTTCTAGTTCCAAAAGAACTCACAATAGATAATAAACTTTAGATAATAAAATTCCTATGATGCCGAACCTTTTTAAAAATAAAATCTTTTTTCCTATTTCAAGCCCTGCAATTCAGGAGTGCCAATCTTCCCCCACCATCCAAGATAGATGGCGCAAGAATCTAACTCCCCCGCCCCTCCATCCCTACTAAGATATTTTACTGCTCATATTTTCTTAAAATCGGAGCAAGGGGAGTAGAATTAGAAAAAAACGTAGATCATACACAATTATACTTGTTGCTGTTTGTTTCATGTTTTCCCATTACCCCTTATTCTGAATTTTCATTTTATTTATTTTATTCTGAATTTATTATTTTCATTCCGAAAATTTATAAACCCTTTAAATTGTGAGCCCCTCAAAAATTCCAAAAATCCTTCAAAATAAGACCCTATCAAAACTTTTGATGGCGCAATTTACGCTATAAAACTCCCTTCTGGACACCCCTGCCTTCATTGAACACTTGTTACTTTATCAAACTAACCTTCATCCTTCTTCTCCCCCCTCCCCAATATTTCTTAAGAGCCAGCCTGCCCCTGTGAATTTGAAATAAAGTACATAAAGGAACTGTCAGACAACACCTTGTATATTTGTACGAATTTTTGTGACGGTGGATTAACAGAGAAGAGGACCCCCTTCCTCGCTATTTTAAATAGCATAACACAATTTTGCCTTCCAAAATAAATAAGACAAAGTGAAAATAAATTGTACATATGTTGTTTATGGTGTTGATATTTTTTCTTTTCAATGTAAATATGTTCTTTAAATGTTTTTTTATTATTTCATTTACATCTTTTATATCTACATATCTGTAAGTGTTTTTTTATTATTTCATAAATATATGTGTTGTAAAATACAAGTATTTTTTTGTTATTAAATTTGTTTTTGTATCTGTTTATACTTTCAATAATACGAATACAATACGAAGATATGAAGTAGGAGAAGACTTATCACTGCGTTATCGAAATTATCAGTGTTCAAGTTATAAACATTGGCAGATAGCAGTCAGTGCCGGCCTGCTAGTCAAGAAGTACCGAAACTTGGATCAAACTTCCGAGATTGAATCAGATTTTTTGCCTAAAAGGATCACATAATATTGTAGAGTTAATCTTTCTGATTTCCACTGATACAGAGATTAGCCAAGCTACAAGTACCTTTAAAGTATAGGACACAGAGAGATACTCACTAGGATGGTGAACTTGCCAGTGTCCAGTTCGCTCTTGAGGGGCTCTTTGGCCGGGTCTAGGTCGACGAGGCCCTCCCTGATCCTGGTGATCTCGTGCTGGTCGTAGAGGGCCACCGCCCGGCTCACGTCCCACTTGCGGGCGCACAGGAACTTCACCGCCGTTCTCCAATTCAGCGCTGGACGCCGCTTCCGCGTCCGATTCACTGCCTCAATGAATTTTTTTACCGCCTGGAACAGAAACATTCGCACCATGAAAATGTATTACTTTATTTCAATTTCATTGTTAAAAGTATAGGTTTGCAAATAAAGACAGCAAATGGTCTGGAAATGGCTTAAATGACAAAATAATTCTTAAGCTACAATAATAATCGGACTGATAGTGCAAAACATTAGCAAATTCAGGATTTAATTTATGGGGGAGAGGGCTTAATATTTCATACCAATCAATTCATATGCTTAACAGTTTATATTATAAGAAGTGACAAGGTTATATAAGACGTAAATAATTTCTTATCTATGAGTTAGTGTAAGGATAGTAGGAATTGTTGTAGAGAGAGGGATATTGTTTTTGATGAGAAAATGGTAGAAGGAATCACGGTATGTGGATGTATTTGGACAGGAAAGGAGAACATGGTTTTCATCGGCTGTTGAGGAATGGTCGCAGGAGCAATAAGGAGAGTCTAAGATGTTTATTTTTAAGAGATGGGATGGTAGACTATTGTGATTGAGGCGAAGCAGTGGTATGGAAGTTAGGAATTTTCTGGAAGCTTTATAGGGTCGGAACGAAGGAAATCGTGGGATTTGAGGTTGGACAGCTTTGTAATAACGCCATTTCACGCTGGTAGAGTACTCTTCTTGCCATTTCTGTTGCCAGTATCTATTTAAGTGAGCCTTAGTATCTCTTGCTGATACATACAGTCGACGATTACCGGTAAAACACGCTTAGTTTAGCTTAGAAAGAAACTATAAAATTATAATTGAGTTGTCCTTGTTACAAAATAAAGGCTTGCTAAAAAATTAATAGGTACTACTATACAAACGTCACTCCGCTTTTATAGTTGGCACAAGATCTCATGATCATATTATAAACGATATTATGACCGAAATTGACCAAACCGTTGGATAAGGCCACGATTTCATCCTCACACGGGTTGAAATTTATTTCGTGGCGTAACCAAGAATGAATTTCTGCATTTCTACTCTGGTTACAATAGGTTTGGTTGTACTTTTGAAACAACTCCTCTCCCCCCTTCCCATTAGCTAGAAATGGCATGACGGGGGGTTAATCAAAGAAAAAAAAAATAAGAACCAGTGAGAGTTTGCCTGAAACTAATAACTAGTAAATTTCAATCTAAATGAATGAAGGTAATGCAGTGAACAAGTTATCAATCCGTTCTTCCAATTCACGAAATTTCGTTTAAATTTGGGTTTTGGACAATTTTTGATGATTGGATAGGGCACCATTTCTCGATAAGTAATTCACAAGTAAACATTTAAATACATTTGTTTGCTGTTAATTTGGAGTATCTAGCGTTTGTTGGTTACGTGCTGCAGTAACCTAAATTATCAGTCATTTTCTTGTCGATCGAGTCAAGTAATTTAAGATTAGATACAATATTTCAGTTCTAAGACCAAGATACTTTATTTGATAATTAAAATTGTTAACAACGTTAAAACTTTCTTGATAGGAGAATTAATAGTTGACTGTCGTGGATATATAGAAGAGGCGTTGGGGTGTGCAGTAACGAGTAACAAAGAAAAAATAAATAAATAATATTTATTTTGTCTTTTTACTTGTTACTGCACACCCTAACCAACTCCTCTTCATACAAAACTTTAGTTATAAAAATCTTCCTCTCCTGTGTGGGCACCTAAAAGATTTGCAATAAAGGATACCTTATCAAAGAATGTATTAAAGCAAAGTGATTCTGTTCTTTTTTTTCTTTAGAAAATTAAATTTAAATTAATTGTAATTCACGATTCTTCTAATTACGAAACTAATTTTTTTTTAATGAGTGAAATCGAAATGGTAATTTTAAAGTTTTTAAGGAACAGTAAATAACAAGAAATGGAGTAAAGAAACAAGGGACGGTGTTTTATCAAAATTACAAGGATCCTCCCTTTTATGTCACTATCTATTATTGGTAACGTAATACGGAACGAAAATAATTGCTTATGAAAAGCAAAAAAACAAAAAATAATGGAGTCAATTATCAAGAGCCATTTCCTGACATTAACAAAAACACAATTCTTGCTCACAATTCCCGGAAGCTCTTATTCGATATGAGTCAGTTCTTTGAACTGTCTTTGCGCCCATTAGTTTTCCGAGGAACTGAAATCTCTCCCTCCTCCTCCCTCAGGATGATCAGCACGTTCCTTTTCGTATCCAATTTTCCCTCTTTTACAAAAGAAAAACAGACAAAAACATGTTTGCAATGGTACGTCATTTCGTTCTGTCAATATGATAACTCCACTATACAGCATAATTCTCAACTCTGTGTACGTATGTTAATGTTCAGACAAACAATAATTATAATTAGGGATAACTTAAAACAACTTTTCCGAAGCAGTAAAAAATAAATCATAGCCTCATTACATTACATATTCCTGGCCTTCAGCAGAAAGGAACTTTGTTAACCATAATTTTTGTTTTTTCTCCAATAATTCATTTAAAACAACTAAAACCTAAGCATGCTAACTTTACAAGTCCAGTTGAGACACATAATATATTTATTCTGTCATATCAAGTATGAATCGGGCACAGAAGACCCTTCTAGGGCACACCCTGCTTCTCAATAGAATGTAGAGATAAGCTGGAATAGCTGACCACATAACATCCTTGCTCAATTAGTGGTATATACATACAATTTACCATTCACTGAATCTATGAACTTTCATGGGTAGTAGATTTTTGCCCTCTTATAACTCCTTCGGCTTTTAAGCCCTGTCAAACTATTCAATAAGGATAGTTCGAACTTATTGTGTTTATTGAATAGAAAACTATTCAATAAACACAATTTCCTTCTCGTTGGAGAGGAAGGGGAGGGGAGCGATGAACCACTCCATCCCAAAAAAAGTCGGCAGCCATAAGACTAGACCTACCTTAAATTAAAAAGTAGCTAATTTACATTTATATAAAGAATTTAATCAAAATTGTTATAGCCGTTTTAGAGGAAAAAAGTCAAAATCGATAATATAAATGATAGTGATATTTTGGTTGATCGCCTTTTAGCGAGAGCTTTGCTGTAACATCCCCAGCAAATAACCTTTAGCATGCAATTTCAATCATTTTTTTTTTTTTCCTTCATCGAGCTAGACTATTCACGTACCCACAGACACTGATATCATTTTGCAAGATTTCGTTATGTGAACTCAGGAGGTTTTCAATTGAAAACTTGGATTCGAAATTTTTCAGATTACCAATTCTCAATATTCAATATATATACAGAAATAAAAATACTTCTTTGGCTGTTTTTTAATTAATATATTGAAGTTTCAGAAATACCAGGTCAATTCCTGAGACCATATTGTCATCCCCAACCCCATCTCCACATATATTATTACAGTAAGGCTCGAAATCGGTTTTGTACCAAATATAAGCTCCTGTCATGCTCATATACCATGAATGGGGTACCGTTGGATTCAGAATTTCATGGGGGGTTAGCGAATAATATTCTCCACTTTTGTTTTTCTTTCTAAAATAAATAAAGTCGATCCAAACATTTTGCTAGGCTTCAATACTGGAACGGTGGTAGGTCTGTAGATCGAAACGGGACAAATTGAAGATTGATCTTGAAGATTTTGATGCGTACAGCATGATCCTGCGTTTTTAAGCCCCAAAACGTACTATTTTCGAGATAACGCAAGGCATAGGGTTCGCATCCACACAGCCTTACATTAATTGTGGTACTGTCATTGAATACAGGTCTCATTTCGTCGACTTCAGGTCTCTATGATCGAGAGAGGAGGAGTTTATATTATTTATCGATGTTGTTTTTGATCGGCAAGCCATATCATCGTTAATTTTTCACCAAATCTCAAGATTGAGCCACCAATTTGGAAGGTTTCCTTCTCCTTCAGGCAGGCAAAATAGTCCAATCACCGCTAAAATTCAGGGAAACAAGTTATGAAAGAAAACAAACTTTATTTGCGAATAACTAAAAAATTACAAACTTTTCCCTTGGCTATGCCCATGATTACATAAAAGATTACTAAATCCCCTACATAAGGAAAGAAAAATCATAGAAGTCGAACTATTTTTAGCAAAGATACAGCTTACTGAAATTTGTGAACATGTTGGTTCCAAAGAAAAATGAAGATTCAAATTAATTTTTGTTTTCTTTGTCGATTATATTTATCGATAAAGTAACATTTGATTTCTTTATCTTTTGATATCTGGAATAATTTTATTTATTATTAATTTGGCATTTGATAACAATATGCTGTGCGAATTTTTCGCACAGGCCTACTAGTTATAAGATAAATTGAACCAACCTATTTGTATCGACCTTATCATTTAAGCGCCTAAAGAATAATTAATTAAATATAATATACTATTTTATAATTTATAATGAGATCACAAGAACTCGAATCAAATGACGCGAAGTCACAGATCGAGCAACGGAAGCGAAGGAAGGATTGCAGATAAAAGGCGTTATCAATGAAGGAATTCCCATTCATGATTTCCTCGATATCGTTGAAGAATAACCGGTGAAGTTTAGATTCTCTTCTTAAATAAGAACCAAGATGAAAAGTGCGAATTTGAATATACGAACAATACCAAAGAAAGCCTTGAACTTACTTTGAGAAAAAAAAATGCCGCTTTTGTAAAGTTTTTTAATCTTGGAATACGCTTTGTTATGTGGGTAGAGTTGTCAGCCTTACTTTGTGGTTGGAAAGGACAGTCCTTTTGTTATTTTTTTTGTTCAGAAAATATGACAGATTTCAAAACAAAAGTTTCCAAACTTATTATACACGAAATATACTGATTTAATCAAGCCCCCATCAATACTTAGCTTATGAATTTAGGAAAATTGATTATGCAATAACGACTAAAATATAATAATAATAATAATCTTTTATAGGATTGATAATAGGAGGCATCTTCAGTCAATTTATTGACGCTATTGGTTCAATGGACAATATGGCTCTAAGTGGCTGGGATTAGTGAATGAATCCGATCCCGAACGATATAACAAATTCATTTAAAATAATTAATTACCATACAG